ATTATTAGTCACATCATCCGAATGAATAGATTTTTATTAGCATTATATCCACCATGTAAGAAATACATATCTGCAAAGTATTAACAAATATTAAATCTTTGGTACAAGTAAAAACATCAAAATTATGGTTTCCTGAATATTGTACCCACATTGGATGTGTCACAAATAAAACATGGATAAAAATCTACATACGAATAACAAAAAGTCTTATGAATCACTGTCACTGATATACCGATATAGCAAGTTATCACATGTAAATATTCGTCATCAGTCTATGATGAAATAAGAATTCTCAAATTATAAAGGCCTATATACTCTGGGTACTTATATATAGTATATCATTATAATTTATATCTACACCTATACCTATTTTCTTCCAGTGCCTTGAAAATAGGTATCTGGTACCCCATTCACAGTGGCCTCAAACACCGCGACAGCAGCGGGACTGTCCCGCTGCTGTCGCGGTGTTGTCTTCAGTGTGAAGGCTCGGACCCGTTATAAACTATCGCGGGATAACACCGCCTAGCGATAACGCCGACACAAACTATCGCTAGGGACGCCTAGCTACAGCAGCGGGACAGTCCCGCTGCTGTCGCGGTGTTTACTCAGTGTGAAGGCTCTCCGCTATAACACCGCGACAAACACGTGTGATTTGTTTACTTACCTATCACTGACCTCTTTTCTACAGCAATGGGGAACATAAAGTGAAATAGAAATAAAGTAACCAGTGGATTCAAATTGATTTTATTATTATGTAGGTATTATAATTATCCAAATAAAAATATTTCACACTTCAAAAAATTAAAATATTCTGACTGGAAGCAATAAAAATGCTAGTTTTTTAAAAAGTAATATGATCGAGGATACAAAAAGCAACTTGACATGTTTACCGCGCAATTTCAAGCAAGTATTTCCGGTCATATCGGGGTCACTCGCGGGTCATGAGCCATGCATACACGTGTTTGTTACGGAGGTAATAAAAATCACCCGCTGCAGCGTGAATGGGTACATGATATTTATCCCGCTGCTGCAGCGGGATAACTTTTCTACTGTGAATGCATTTGTAGCGGTGTTATGGCGGTGTCGCCGCTCCGCTACAACGCCGCTACAAATTTCAAAACCACTGTGAATGGGGTATAGAACTTATACCCCATTCACAGTGGTTTTGAAATTTGTAGCGGCGTTGTAGCGGAGCGGCGACACCGCCATAACACCGCTACAAATGCATTCACAGTAGAAAAGTTATCCCGCTGCAGCAGCGGGATAAATATCATGTACCCATTCACGCTGCAGCGGGTGATTTTTATTACCTCCGTAACAAACACGTGTATGCATGACTCATGACCCGCGAGTGACCCCGATATGACCGGAAATACTTGCTTGAAATTGCGCGGTAAACATGTCAAGTTGCTTTTTGTATCCTCGATCATATTACTTTTTAAAAAACTAGCATTTTTATTGCTTCCAGTCAGAATATTTTAATTTTTTGAAGTGTGAAATATTTTTATTTGGATAATTATAATACCTACATAATAATAAAATCAATTTGAATCCACTGGTTACTTTATTTCTATTTCACTTTATGTTCCCCATTGCTGTAGAAAAGAGGTCAGTGATAGGTAAGTAAACAAATCACACGTGTTTGTCGCGGTGTTATAGCGGAGAGCCTTCACACTGAGTAAACACCGCGACAGCAGCGGGACTGTCCCGCTGCTGTAGCTAGGCGTCCCTAGCGATAGTTTGTGTCGGCGTTATCGCTAGGCGGTGTTATCCCGCGATAGTTTATAACGGGTCCGAGCCTTCACACTGAAGACAACACCGCGACAGCAGCGGGACAGTCCCGCTGCTGTCGCGGTGTTTGAGGCCACTGTGAATGGGGTATAAGAATCATACATTAAATTCAACTGTTCCTTTCTCTATTTCATTTCAGTTTCTTTCATAACTTACATATGAAAAACTGGCAATACTCTTGGTAGGATTGGGAACGGATGAAAGAAGCTTTTAAAACTTGTAAAAAATACCTCCAATTAAAAAAAAAAAGAGAACTGTCCAGAACCAGTACAAATGGGGTTAGAATGATGTATATGAATGTTTTATTAGGTTCTTTATCCTCAAAGCTTACAGTATATAAGTTTGCTTGACCATGTACATTGTAAGTAAGTGTAAGGCACTATATAATCAAGGATAATTATTATTATCAACAAGTCCTCTTTAAAAAAAAAAAATCATCAATCAACATTATCACAAACCTCAAGAATTTGTCTAGGAATAAAAAAATAAACTAGATGGAATTTTGACTGCGCGCAGTCGAAAATGATGCCTCCGCCATAGAGCAATTTAAACAAGTTTGGAGTTTAAATCTCCAGTGGTTCTTGAGATATCATGATAACAATATCAATGTATGGAATTTCATAAGTTGACCTCTGTGACCCTTGACCTTTGACCTACGTGCTCCAAAATCTAATCAGATTGTCTTCCTATGGTGATACACACTATCATTAAGTTTGAAGTTTAAATCTCCAGTGGTTCTTGAGATATTATGATATGGTGATACATACTATCATTAAGTTTGAAGTGAAAATTCTCCAGTGGTTCTTGAGATATCGCGATAACGATCTCAATGTATGGAATTTCATAAGTTGACCTCTGTGACCCTTGACCTTTGACCTACGTGCTCCAAAATCTAATCAGATTGTCTTCCTATGGTGATACACACTATCATTAAGTTTGAAGTTTAAATCTCCAGTGGTTCTTGAGATATTATGATAACAATCTCAATGTATGGAATTTCATAAGTTGACCTCTGTGACCCTTGACCTTTTACCTACGTGCTCCAAAATCTAATCAGATCGTCTTCCTATGGTGATACATACTATCCTTAAGTTTGAAGTTTTTACATCTCCAGTGGTTCTTGAGATATCATGATAACAATCTCAATGTATGGAATTTCATAAGTTGACCTCTATGACCCTTGACCTTTGACCTACGTGCTCCAAAATGTAATCAGATTGTTTTCCTATAGTGATACACACTATCACTAAGTTTGAAGTTTAAATCTCCAGTGGTTCTTGAGATATCATGATAACAATCTCAATGTATGGAATTTCATAAGTTGACCTCTGTGACCCTTGACCTTTGACATACGTACTCCAAAATCTAATCAGATCGTCTTCCTATGGTGATACATACTATCCTTAAAGGGATCGTTTAACAATGTTAAATCTGAGATACACGGCCCAACGTGTTGTCAGTGTCTGTGATATGGTGTAATATTAAAGTCCTAAAAAAATTGCGCTTCAAAATGATCAAGAAGTGCCTCAAAAAAGTAAAAATCTTTGAGTGACCGGTTTTACCATACTCGTTTTCCCCAATAGACTGTAGTGTTATGAAAACCGTCAGGCGAACGGTTTTCAAAATTTGTAATTCCAATCATAAATATCTTGATAATCAGACAGGCGATCGGCTTGTAAAAGTCATGGGGTTCCTGACTGACCTAAAGGTTTATAATTATCATTGCATCATGAGCTAAATCCAGAATTTTGTTTCAGAATCTGAGACAAAGTTACCGGATCCCTTTAAGTTTGAAGTTTAAATCTCAAATGGTTCTTGAGATATCGCGCTAACAAACTCAATACAAGGAATTTCATAAGTTGACCTCTGTGACCTGTGACCTTTGACCTACGTACTCCAAAATCTAATCAGATCGTCTTCCTATGGTGATAAATACTATTCCCGAGTCTTAAGTTTAGATCTTAAATGGTTCTTGAGATATTGTGATAACGGTCAAACGGGACGGACGTACGGACGGACAACCCGAAAACATGATGCCTCCGGCACCACCTTCGGTGGCGGAGGCATAAAAAGGAGAGGTATGACATTAGACATAATCTTTCAATAATTGATACAAACGTTCGAGAAGAATCTCTTTCAATTACATGAACTATATTATTGCACAAATTTGTCATGAAACAATCACCATTTTAACCACAGTGGTGGAGAGAATGACAGAGGTCAAGAAGATATTTTTCTTTTTAGGAAAAAAACCAAGAATAAATGCAGACATTTTAATAAAATATTTTTGTCATGAATTGTTTTTCTTTGAATTTAATCAACCCGTATGATATAGAACATCATTACCCGTATCAGACATCTGAGCTGGTCATTTACAAAACCGTATTGCCCTAGTTTTCACTAGCAGTGGGAACGAAGGGGTATATTCTTTGTATTTTCCTTGGTCTCCCTGCTCGTATAGACTTTGCGTGTAGAGACGAGTGAAAATATACCTTTGTATTTTCCACGGTCTCGCATCCGGGCCATATTTTGTCATTTTCATTGCGCATCTATTATGCGTACGAGAACCTGCGCACTTTGCGCGCACTCTATTGTGACGTAATAATCACACCAAATGCACACTGTTTGCAGTGTATCGAAAATTTCGTCAAGCACTGGATGCACAGTGCTGGTTTGACAAAGCTTGTTCAGTTCTTTGAGATTGTCATGGTGGATTTCTGTATTTGCTCTAGATGTCTGATTTGGACAACAATAAAAATATTGACTGGCTTTACTTTCGGGGGATATCAGAAATATTTACCGCGCTAAGACCATATTGCCCTCGTCTTTCGACTCGGGGCAATATGATCTGAGCTTGGTCAATATTTCTGATATACCCCTCAAGGCCAGTCAATATTATATAAATATACATCTTTTTCTATTAACAAACTACATGAAATCATTACCACATCTGACTACTTTCTTGACATGGTAATATCACTATATCTGCATTTTAGTGTTTTATACACCTCTTATTATTAACCTCGGCATCGGTTCACTAAACTGTCAAAAGTACAACTTCAACAACATCCCATTGAAACTTATGCATTAAAATTAACAACCATGTCAATGGAATTTCCATGAACTTGTACATTTTGTAAAATGATGCCCTGAAGTATACTGATACCATCGTATTTCTTGGATTTCAAGAGATCTAGATAGACAGGAATTTTTGTTGTGACATAGTGTGTGAAGCTCTACTCTTACCTTATACATACCTAGCTTGATGAAGATGAATCACAATCCTGAACTTTTACAACTCACTAGAGTTCATTGATGCAAAAATAGGTAATGTTAAATAATCAGCAAAAATTTCTGATTTTACAGTAAAACTTATGACTTTCACAAAAATAAATCAATTTATCTCATTCATTTGTAAGTATTACCGGTATATGTTGTTACAAAAACTATAAAGAATTGAATTTCAACTAAGTATCTTAATTATATTATCAGGCAAAAATGCAAATATAGTAGATAACAAGATATAGAGGCTTAATAACTGTAAAACTGAAAACAAAAGAAAATTAATAGAAACTTTTAGATTTAAATGTGAAGCGAAATTTAGTGACTATTAATTGTCTTACAGCCCTTTTTACAGTACACATTGATCAAACCAAGAAAAACAAATCTATATTCTCTCTTTGGTCTTGAAGTTTGAATCTAGATGATAAACAGATGAGTAGATCCATACTCCTATCATCTCACAATTTACACGAGGAAGCCTTGAATACTGATTATATTTAACCTGAAAACCCCTAAGCTCATAATCTGGTTATGGAATTCCACTTCAAGAACATGTTGTTTAAGTTATTTTGAATTCTTGCTATCGCCGATAAATACAAAATAGCAGTATGTTACATTTCATCATAATCTATTGCTCTATTTCTCACCTATCATACATATCTTTAAAAAAAAATTCTTAAGCACATACTATTCTCCAAGTTTCAATACAAGTTTCGTTTTGATTTAGTATTTGTCGTTACCGGAACCGAAGATTACCTGTCGTGTCATTAAAGTTAAATCTTGATGAAAAAACCTTTATAGGTGATGAGTCTCACAAGGTGATACGCTCTCCTTTCACAAGTCTTCCTTTCATGTACCATATGTCCTGAGTTGAAGAAGAAATCATAAATACATAGTAAAACATACATGTATGTGTAAAAGAATTACCCTTTAGCCCTAAAAGCAATGTGAGTCTACCCACATCATGTACATGAAACCAAACCAAACCACAATAAAGAAAATGAAAAAAGGTTCATAATTCTAGAAAGAAAAATCTAAAGCCCTTCTTGTTCTGTCTTCAATTATGGAAATTGCTTTATAAAACAAGATGAAAACAATTCAGGATTGTGACTTAATATCACTAGGATGATTTGGCTCAATTACAAAAAGCTTTCCAGAATCTATCACACAATGATCTTGACCATACAGTATTGAGGACATACACCATGTAAGTTTAGAAACAAATGAATATATGAACAGCCTTGCTGATTGAATTTACCATTGCCATGCATGCATGCATACTTGCTGGGTGTACAGTGCACACCTAGCACTGATAGTGGAGATGTTACATGTACAACATGAACAAATACTTACAGACTATACATTTAGAGTATAATTCAAGTGTAGGTACGATCCTCAAACATCATTACTGAATCAATGAGCCATTCCAATCTTCAAATAAGCAATTAGCAAATCAAAAAAAAAATTGTTCAACTTCCATAGAAAAGAGAACTGTCTAACCTTGATGTTGACTTCAACATCTTCTCCAAGTTTCCTCTTAGCAACATCAGTGATTTCATTTGCCATATTAGCTTGTGTTGTCCCGGCAACATCGATGTAGTGGCAATTAGAAGAGGCATAATGGCAGGAGATTGCCTGTAAGAAATCAAATAAATATAAAGTGTAAAATAAACATTAAAGCTAAATATATGTTTACAGGCCCATCTTAAAGTTAATACAAAGTTTTGGGAACTTTAGAAAATTGGTCGGATAGTGATTCTTCACAAATTTGATTTATTTGGATGCCCCTGTGGATATATTATAAGCATTAGAAAATCTAGTCCCTAAAACATTTCTGTTTTTGAGAAAAATTGAATATAAAAATTTACCGGTGCTCCCGGTAAATTTTGAAGATTTCAAATAGCGCCTACGGCCTTACAATAGTGGCTGCGACCATGTAAATCTCAGAATATGTAGTTGTGATATATAATTTTCGAACGGGAATAGCTAATCGATCAAATTTAGTCAAGAAACATTTTTCTATAGCTTAATTAATATCTTGACCTTGAGAGGGAGCTATACAACATAAAGAGTTTATTATTTATAATTTCATAACTTTAGACTTGTTTTCAACCGCGACAGCGATCACTGAATATTGTAGGATCGCATATGCTTCCAATATGTTCATTTGAACCAAATTCATGACCCCATACCAAAACTTTGTATTACCTTTAATGCTGGTTTTTGTTTGTTAATGCCATGGCCAGCTTACGATGTGTTATATACCAATAAGTATTCCTTTCATCTCACTCAAGGTACATTAAAAATGACTGTGGTATTCAAAAGTCTTTTTTCCCCCAAGATATATTTTCACCACATTCATAGGTAATGGTAAGAAGAGTTTGTACCTTCCTAAATCCACTTGTTTTATTAGTTCCAGATCCATGAAGCAAGAGGGGATGGAAGAAGACTGTATCTCCTTTCTCCATCTCAAGATGAACTCTGGGAGCAGATGCATCAAAGTCCATTATTCCATGGTACATCTTGTTCACACCTCCCTAAACAAAAGACATTACAAATATATATTATCTCCTCATGTCTACTGCAATTTTGGTGCATATTTATTGACTGATTAATCACTGATTTGACAATGTGTGTGATGATGAATCAAATTTGATGATAATTAAATATCCAGGAGATAATGGCTCTCTATCTCAGATCGATTTGCTAGAATGATTAAGGACTCAGTGTCTTCATCATCATCATCATTTATCAAAGTCAGCATTTTCCCTCTTACAAAGATTACTGACTTTCGTGACATGATGGCACTCCCTCTCCCCACTTCTTCTTGTCTCTAGCATACTCTTCATTTAGACCAACCTTACAGTTACTGCTTTCTTTCTTCACCATTTCTATCCATGAAATCTTCCTTTCCCTCATATGCCATCCACTTCCGAATCTCAAGCTCTTTTCTCAGGTTTGTCATCTTCCCTTCTCAACGAATGACCCAAACAAATGAATGAATGAAGGAATAAATAAATAAAATGATACATTGAATTGAGTTTTCTTGCTATATCAAGTACGGCTTGAAACATATGCACACTTAATGTATTGCAGAGTGCGTATACTGTAATAGGTGAGGGCTCGTTTTCATGTGGTACTTGTTCCTTCATTCAGGCACTATTCAAAATCTTATTACAGACAAACCTCTCTATACACACTTTTCAAATGAAATAACAAACAAACAAACAACCAAAGATAATTTTTTAAAGGTGGTGGCTAAATCTGGATTGACTACAAATTTTGAGCTAAATTCACATCAAAACTCTCAAAAGGTGAATTAAAAAAAAGAAATAGTGATCCTATAGAAAGAAAAATAGTAGTATACTGAAAAAAATTGTTCAGTTCTAAAGTTACGACTGGGTATCTGAGCTTGGATGCAACAACAAAGAAGAAGTAAGAAATAAAATACAATGTACTCTATATGCACTATCCCTTCAAATTAATTTTGACAAAGTAATGTGCTCCTAAAATGAAGTTATATCACATGTATGATTAAGTCAGCTGACCACTGACTCATCAAACCTTTAGCATGATGGTTTGTGCATACCTCCCATTTAGGATAATCATGACGCATTAACTGTCCCTTATGTGAGCCTGGAATCACCACAAGACAGCCGTTTTGTCTGTGTACTTTCTCCATAGCTGTCCAGGAACACACAATGCTCTTAGCTGGTCGGAATGGGAAGTAGTGTAGATCCTGATGCATGGGATGCCGAGAGGTCTTGCTTCCTGCAGCAAAATAATCCAAAATAAACAAGTCAACGCAAAGCGTAGCATCCCCTCTCGGGGTACAAATGGCCTACCGGTAAATACCTCAGAACAAGTTACCTCCATTGGACTATACTATTATATCACTAGGCAAGGAAGTTAACCACATTTCACATATATAATTAGGTGTTTTTGCATATTTAATGAGCTATGACCTTTCACCTTTGACCTACATACTCATAAATCAAACTTAGGCTGTACATGTATTTTGATACTCCTGCCTTCATATTAAATTTCATTAAAATTCGTCAAACATTACTCAAGTTATAGAAGGGAACCAGATTCGCATATTTAATGAGCTATGACGTTTGACCTACATACTCCGAAATGAAACTTAGGCTGTGTTTTGATACCATGAACCTTCATATCAAATTTCATTAAAATCTGTCAAACATTACTAAAGGTATCAACGGAAACCAGATGTGTATTTTTTCGCATATTTAATGAGCTATGACCTTTGACCTATGTACTCCAAAATCAAACTTAACCTGTATTTTGATATCATGTACCTTCATATTAAATTCCGTCAAACACTACTGAAGTTATCGATCGGAAATCAAATTTGTTACGGACGGACGCACGGACGGACGGCAGCGTTACTATATCCCCTCCGACTTTGTCGGTGAGGGGATAATAAAAAGCCATTTACTAAGCTAGAGATATCTCTATCTATGAGAAATGTGTGTTATATAACAACTACACAAGTTTAAAGAAATCTAACAGCTAAAACATTCCATCGCTTGAATAATGAATGAAAAAACTGTCTTTTCATGTTTTAAAGTCTTTTTTTACATTTCTGTAAATCTGGTAGTCTCATCTTAAACTAATAAATGTAATGGAAGTAGGCAGATATCATTAAACATGAAGCATGTGTGATCCTTGTATGAACAATATACTAGATGCATCACCATCAGTGTGTGGATTTTGATGCCAGGCATATCCTTGCAAACTCAATTAACATGAGGCCTAAAAAAAAAAGATGTTGTGTTGCCCTTTAGGTGCCAAAACATGGGTCGGTCGGTCAGAAATTTTTTTTGTTTTTTTTCTTCTCCCTCTTTGGCTGATATTTTTCAGTATGAATGCTTTAATATATATATTTTTTTTTAAACGGTAAAAAAAAAAAAAAAAATCGAAAAAACCGACCGTAGATTTCAAGATTTTGGGGTCGGTCACAAAGGGCAATACAACATCTTTTTTTTTAGGCCTGAGTGAAGGTGACATTGAAGGCAAACATGTACAAACCATATTTACGTTCTGTTCACTTTTTTAGATGTTACATCAAGATTAGATTTTTTTTATTCATAACATCCTTCTAAATATACAATGTTAAAATGATAAATAAGTCCTATGAAGTGTAGCATGAGATCATACAAGATTACATGTTGTACAAAATGCCTTATTGTTATCTTCATAATGAGCCATAAACATCACTTACCTGGATCAGGAGGTTTGTTGATAAGCATTGTATGCATTGCCATTGCATCAGGTCCAGTGAAGCACTCTACATATTGCAATAGCTGTAACAACAAACCAAAGTCCACATATTGTTAAAGGTAGAAAATTACCTGTATGTGTCAATTAGTGCAGCAAGTCACGTATCTAGGTTTTCAAAGGTCTCCTGATATTGCTGATAACATCTTCTACTACAATCATACATATCATTCTTTCCTTAGTACCTTTATCAGACATTATCATTTGTTTTCCTTCTTGAACTATCATCTGTTCAGAGCCTTAAGGACTTTAAATATGTCTTAAAGTATATGAGTTCAATGCCCTTCTGGCTCCAAAGATATGTAATCAAAACTGAAGCACATGATTTTCTTAATAAAAGTTCATCAGTTCCTTTATAATCCACAACATTAAAAATTGATCATTAACATAATAAGTAATGAAGGAAACATCAAACAATGATATATTAATAAGTTTGCACACAAATATTTTTTCAGATAACACTGTCAATTAAACCGATTAATACAAAGAGTCCAAATTATATCTACTCCAATACAAGAAATATGCTCTTTCTAAATGTGAAAATTCATGCTTGTCATTTCACAGTGAGTTTGTTCAAGTACAATTGCGGCACTTTATAATAAATGATTAAATGAATGAATAAATTCAGGTCGTTCATGAAATCAAAATAATTACACAATTCCAGCAAATATCTCAAAACCACATGCATTTATCTCGATCAATAAATTTAGATTTATGAAAGGATGACATCCTATTATATTAAATCCTATTCATCTTCCAAATGAGGCAGGAGACAGGTCAATTCAATTTGAAAGATTAATAATGCACATATGAATGATCATTGATCAGTGACCATTAAAGCCACCCCGTCCCTAAACGTCGGTGTATAAGGAAAGGGGTTTTGAATTCATCCTGTATTGAAATGTTTTTAGTGGGACTGTACAGGTGTCATATTTATTGTTCAGATTTCACAATTTCTGCAATGAGGAAACCAAAATGAAATAGTAATCACATTTGATAACTACCTCTGGCGAGCTGCAGTAGGAGAATAGGACTTCATTGTCTTGAAAGTCTTGGAGTTTATTGATTGCTCTTTCACCACTCAATGTTTTAAGGGCAACATCCTTCATGATAGTCATACCGGCAGAGCGCTGTCTATTCTTCCCTTCACAGATAAGCTCAAACTCCTCCCTGTAAATGAATTAAAGAATTAAAAGGATATCATACAATCACTTGTATTGATCAATCATATTTTTAATACCATACAAACCCATAGTCACTTTGTTAAATACCAGTAAACACATGTATTTGAAGAGTAAAATTTAATTTTTGTGACTTGTTGGATCACCTGATTTATAAAGTGAAGAATTAAGAACGTGGGTCATTGACTAATGCTTTAATGCAGCTCCAAACTGAATACCTCAGAACATGATTAAAAAACACTACCAATATCAATTTTAAACAAGAGGTGCTATCAATGACCTAAGAGCTTAATCATATCAGCCAATAATTGAATAATATCAGGTAGATTCTATCCAAATTCCAAAGAGATGTTATAATACATGGTTGGTGAATACAATTTCACTGTTTATTTTCACCAGATATACTGGGAGGGAACTTCCCTATTAGTTAAACAAATTCTTTTATTCTAACCAATAACTATTAAGCTTATTGACCCAACGACCATATGTGATATTCCTTGTCACAGCTATTATCCCAGTTCATTATTTATCATGTATACCCCTCTAATGCGACTGTATCAAGATTCAAATGGAATTTTTTAAATTTCAGGCCATCTGAGCCCCCCCCCCCCCCCCCCCCAAGAACCACTGCTCTATCAGATAAGATACCAATTTCTGATTTTTCAATTTTCATCTGTGTACATGGCCTATAACAGCAGTTTTCTCCTACAATAACACACATGAGCTTTCTACAATATCAGGGACTCCAGAAGAAATTGAGTATCAAGGAAGAAATGTAAATTATATACATGTATGTAATATATTTCCATTTCTGCTAGAATGCTTTAGTCCTCTAAAACCATTCAATCTCATATAGAGATATGTTAGTTCACTCCCTTTGCATAAGGATTAACATCTTCAGAGATCCCACACAAAACATTCCATGCTTTTCTCTACTACCACAATCTGAGTACGACCTTACCTGTATGCATCGATTTTGTGATGAGGTACAAGATTGGGAATAACCAAGAAGCCATTCTCCTGGTACGATCGCTCTTGTTCCGCTGTAAGAATACTGTTCTTCACGACATACTGAATCTCATTGGACAGTCCTGCTTGAAGTGATGGTGATAATGAATCAGAAGAAACTTGCTGTTGAATCTATAGCAGCAAAAATAACAAATTTAGTTAAATTACACTTCTATTACATTGCACAGTTGCGATAAGAAGTTCCTCTCAGTAAAAACGTGGGGTTACAATTTTATGTGCAAAGCTCAGATAGTGCATATATATCAAGAGCATATTTTGGGCTATAGTTGAATAGAAGTACCCAAATATTTCATCATGACAGATAGCATGCCAAAATTATCATTTCAGTGCTCATATTTAGCTTTGATTATTTCTTTAACCCTATTAAATAAGCCAGGTTATTTTGGTACCCTCTCAGCCAAGTCAGGTGGGGGGAGGGGCTGGACTTGTATGTGTGTAGAGGTACGTCTTGCAAATTGGCACCTGGCTGGAATGCCACTCGGGTGTTAACGTACCCGGTAGGATGCAAACATCAATAGTTTGCTCAGCTTGCCATTGTGAGCGTCTGTAAAGTGGCACCTAGCTGGAATGCTCCCCAGAGAGTAGAGAATGAATCTGATGTCTGGCATAATAATATGGGGTCCGCTCGCTATTCATAAAGACCTCTATTCATATCAAAGGACTGCTATATATAAGGACCGCTATTCATAATTTGAGAAAAGGTTCATTATTCATAAGGGTCATTATTCATAAGGAGAATAAAGAACCGCAATTCATAAAGGCGAAGGTTGCTATTCCTAATACAAAATCAGGGTTGTATAGGGGTCCCTATTCATAATACGAGAAGAGGGCCGCTATATTCATGATACGTTAAATGGACGTTTTTAAAAATTGTCGGCCTATTTAATTTGGAAATTCCATTCACCCATTTCTTGTAAATGATCAAGGATGATTCTTGAATGATCAGTTATTTCATGGGGATACCAATTAATTTGTATTTTACCTGTTTATATACTTGTGTATTTATCTATTTTGTTTTTGATGCTGTTATTCGTTTTATTATTACCAAACAGGGCCTCATGGAAGACCACCAAATTGGTGATATGTGCCACCTTGTATAAATATCAGAAATAAATAAATAAATATCTTATTATGAAAAGCGCGACCCTCATTTTTTATTTAATATGAATAGCTGTCCTTATGAGCTTGATCCCCAATATAATTTTTTTTTAAATGCAGTGTAAAATAAGAAAAATAACCTCTCAGTCTCACCAATACCATATCTCTAAAATTAACACTGACCATTGCAATCATCCAAAAACAGCTACTGCCAAACTCACTCTCGGAACAAGTTTAGAATACCACGGCCACCTCACCACTAAAATTGACCAAACGCTCGTAGGGAACCAAATACTTCACAAATGAAGCTAAATTTCAAGACTAACCTAATCCTAACCCTTACTCTATTCATTTTTATTCTAACCCTAACCCTTAGCTAAGGTCTTCAAAGTTTATGTACATTTTGTAGCAGCTCTTACATTCGCCCTACTTTTATCGTACATTCATGTTCACAGTTATTTTCTATCACGCTACATATTTATATTCAGTTATTCGGACCATGTGTGTTCATTCTTTCAATCGAGCACCGTGTACCACGCATCCGTTCACCCGCGTATTTTCAACGCCACAATGTTTTTCTTCACTCCCGCTTCCACTTTGGTCGAGTCAAGATGTCTCTATGATTTCCTCTCCGGGCTTTATTCTTCTGTGCCTTTCGTCTCTTTTATGGCACATCAACTCTTTCTCTGCCGTCTTCAATGGACTGGCAGCCTTCCAGTGGAACATTTAAATCAGGACCCGACATGGCGCTTGATTATTCGCTGGGAGCTGCCAGTTTCTTTGTTCCGGTAGCTCTTTCCATACTCGAGCTCGACTCACCCTAGTTCGTCTATTATTTCATCAACGAGTTCGACCTACTGCAACTCTGATGATTTCTCCATCAAAGTCCGGCTCATTCATTGAGCGACCTCACTGCTCACCTTCACCACCGGCTTTGATGTCTACATTTCTACCCTTGGCCTCCGATATTCAAGCGATTCACTGCTTCGTCATTGAGCGCCACATTCCTTCTCTTCTCTTCTTGCCTGAGAGCTTCATCTTCATCAGGAGCGTCAGCGTTGAGATCCTTCACGGCTCTTCAGCCACGACTAGGAAGCTGCATCTCCGCCTTCAAGCCTCTGCACTATTCATCGCGTGATTCACATCTTATCATCTTCATTGGACTTTCGACCTCCTTTCCACTCTGTCGTAAGCTCTATTCATTTCATTGCATTTATTCATCATTATATGACCATTTAAACTCTGTGCAATATCTACGATTCTCATTCATGCGATTAGTATTCCGAATCATTTATTTGCCTGACTGACTTCACTTGCAAGTGTTAGTCTAGATCTATCATATTTATTCATCAATAAACATATTGAAAAGGGAATACTTTCTTTCATGTATTTTATTGCCAGTGCAAACTTGTTTTCCTCGTAGCTAAAATAAAATAAGAGTTAGACTATGTTGTGTGGATCAGTGAACACGCTTTTACAATATTAACCCACAAATACAATACCCCACACACTCATTTCTCTACACATGGTGGGGCATTCTAATTAAGTTAAGCCGAGAAGAGAACCAAGCAATGACAATGCGATGTCAATCTATATAGACCCTAGCTATAGACCCTATTACACCAAAAAATATATATCTATATAGCTATATTACACCAAAAAATGTATATCTATTATAGATCTAGATATACATTTTATCATTCAATGATAAATAAAAAGTGGAATTAGCGCCGAAATACCTAAGCTGCAATAAAAACTAAAGTCCCAAATTAAACGTACCAAAGGAGCAAAATGACGATTAAAGACGTTCAGACGTCTCAGCGCCTCACTGGGTCCTGTGTCTGATTCCATTTTTCTAGATCAATGACAATGCAACCTTAACCGGCTGTAGTAGTGTGCAGTACGAATAGCGGACTACGCTCATCCCGTTTATGTTTTAAGTCGGAGTGGCTACCTGTGATCATAAAGGTCAACGAACTATTTGGACGGGTCCTTAGCTTGCTCTGTATGACTTCCCTAGTGCAGTGACAAGGTGACAATGACAATGACAATGACATCTATCATGTCACCCATAATCGGGGTATTGGAGAATACAATCTTATATACACATGTATACAATCATATATAATCCACTAGAATAGAAATAAATAAATATATACATTAAAAACTGTAATACTAATGGGCTAATTATCATACTTCTAATCTCCTATATTTACACAAAAAATTTCAGAAAAAAAGAGAGAAGGAAGGAAAGGGAAAGAAAAAAGGAAAAAACGAGATAAAGAGAGGGATAAAAAGAGGAATAAGACAAGAAAAGAAGGAAGATAAATCAGTTGCGATTTTCCCGCCAACAAAATGTGGATGGGGTGGGGCCGGGGGGGGGGGGGGGGGGCAATCGGCCCTTGCCTCGCCGTCCCCGAGCCCCCCGCCAGCAGGCCCGTAGCCAGAGTTTGATGTTGGGGGGGGGGGGGCACGGGCGTACGCAGGATTTTTTCAAGGGGGGGGGGGGGTAAGGTCACCTTTAGGTCAGCCATGGGCATTTTTTTAATTTTTTTTTAAAATTAAGAAAACAAAAACAAAAAATCCAAAGGGTGGGGGGGTTTAGGTTTTTTTTAGGGGGTTTACACACATAAAAATACCAAAGGGGGGGGGGGGGTTCAACCCCCCCTGCGTACGCGCCTGGGGGGGGGCACATACACGCAATCGATCAAGGTAAAAAAAAGGGGTCTAAAAAAGTTCAACCGATCTTCTTTTTTTTGGGGGGGGGGGGTGTGTGCCCCCCCCCCCCCCCGTGGCTACGTGTTTGCCCGCTAGCATCTCTTCAAAATATTCATTTTACCAATGTTAACCTTTTAGCATGGATATTAGTTTTCTGCAGGCAGAACGAAACGTAAAATTCGTCGCTGTTTTCACGAAGTGACGGTACGTAGTGAAAAAAAATTGCATTCACTTTGCGTGACGATTTTCCTCACTACCATCACTTCGTGAAAACAAGGACGAATTATCATGCATTAACATGTTAGTGTATCATTAGAATTATTCATATATGACATCTCGTGCATCAACTCTTTCGTCTTTTTTTGCGCATGGCGGATCGTCAATGAAACAAAGATATCTCTATGGGCTTTTGTCGACTTTGTTTGTTTCTACGGCAGGCAGCCTTTGAAAATGAATGCGATTAATCAAATTAAGGAAATGCAATTAGGCATTATTTTAAACAAACAGAACTTTGTTATATCTCATTTTTCCTGATTGAGCCATCATATAAAAGGGCAGAAAATGAACTTTCTAGAATTGTGATTTTCTCTTTGAAATTCAGATACCACCCGCCAAATGACGTTTTGGTACCATTTCTTCGCTTTGTTTTTGATCACTCATGCGTGAAATGCAGCATTATGAGCTGCATCGAATGAAAGAGGAGGATCTATACGCTTTACAATTATATGTGTCATTATTAATTTTAAGAGTGATTGGGACGCACTGTATGCCTATATTGGAAGGTTGCATGGCGAATAAAAATCAATCAATCAATCAGAGAGAGGGAGAAAAGAAAAGAAAGTACTGAGGACGTAGGAATTAAGTGAAATACCCCCATGATGGAGCACGCTTCGAGTGCTCAATACCCAAAGACGTTGCCAAATATAAAACCCACGCGAGCTGGTGGGAGTTATGAGCGTATATCAGGCAGTAGCCACGGGGGGGGGGGGGGGGGGGGCACAGGGGGCACGTGCCCCCCCCAAAAAAACGTCAAAGATCGGTTGAACTTTTTTAGACCCCCCCCTTTTTTTTTTTTACCTCGATCGATTACATGTATGTGCCCCCCCCCCCCAACATCAAACTCTGGCTACGTGCCTGGAGCATATGGCAATCCGTTTTTTTAATAATTTATATATTCCTATTTTTTAATATCAAGAATTGGGAATAAATGTTAAAACGGCTTGCCATCATGAGCGTACACAATATTATGACCAGTGGCGGATTCAGGGGGGGGGGGGGCACAGGAGGCACGTGACCCCCGGTAAAAAAAAAAATTAAGAAAAGGGGGAGGGAGAAAAAGAAGAGGGAGAAAAAGAGAAAAAGGAGTGGGAAAGAAAGGGGAGGGGAAAAAGAAAGAAAAGGGAAGAGAGAAAGAAGAAGAAAAGAGGGAGGAGAGAAAAGGGGAGAGGAGAAAAAAGAAGAGGAAACTGGAAGAAAGAGAAGCGAGAGGAGAGAAAAGGTGGAAAAGGAAGAATGGGGAAAAGACTGAGGAGAAAAAAGGGGGAAATGGAGAATAATGAGTAGGGAAAAGAAAGAAAGGGGATGATATTAAAAGGTGTTTTTTACCGGGAAAGGGGCGGGGGGGGGAGGCACGCAATTTTGCAGTGTGAATAATATGGGGTCCCTCTTGCCAGGCGTGTAGCTCCCCCCCCCCCCCAAAAAAAAAAGAAGCACAAGAAGAACAAAAAAAAAAAAATGGAAATAAGTGGGAAAGTGAGAAAGGAAAAAAATGAAAGAGAATTAAACAACCTTAGAAAAGAACAAATAAAGTCCCTCGATCGAAAGAGGATAACTAGAAGAAAAAAATAGTGGTTCAAGTAAAAATCAATTCTATTTTTAAATTACAAAAGAGGGCTATCCGTATTTGTACAGGATCACATTATTTGGCTCACACTGACCCCTTATTCTCTTAACTTAAAACGAAAAAAAAAAATTGATTTGACAAGTAGCAATTATTATGTTCAAGTATATTAATAAACAACTTCCACCATCCTTCGATAATAAGTTTCAATTGTTCTGTTCATTCCTATATATATATATTTTTTAAATTTTTCTATTTTTTTTTAGGGGGGGGGGGGGTGGGGGGGGGGGGGGCGCTTTTGTTTTTGTTTTTTGTTTTAAAAAAGATAACATTTATGTTACTATCCTTATTTTTTTTTACCGATTTGGAGTGCTAGGGGGGGGGGGCGGGCCGGTAAAATCGGCCGTGGATCCGCGCCTGCTACTATGTATCTCTTTAATTCAATGAAAAATATATCCGTTATACTTGTTTGTATATGCTTTGTATTATGGTTATTATATAATAGTATTAGACAAGATTTTCTACGAATGTAATACTTTGTATTATTTGAACGCAGAAATAAAATCAATCAAACAAACATGTAGGCCTATGTATCTTGGAAAAAAACTTTCTTTTACTTTGTGATTGAACAGAAACCATCTTTAGTTGCCTGCAGCCATTAACCAAAATTAACCTGCGTGCAACATTTTGCACGTGTTCAGAGACCGGGGGGGGGGGATCGAGGGGGGGGGGGTACGTCTGTGTTCACTCCATCCTGTCTGAGACACACGACGATTGTTCCAAAACATGACACACGTACACCAGGCCTAAAACAAAAAGATGTTGTATTGCCCTTATGGTGCCAAAACAAGGGTCGGTCGGTCGGAAATCTTTTTAAAAACTTTTTTTCCCCTTCCCATTTTTTTCTGAAAAACGGTTTAAACATTTTCTCTTTTGAAAAGCCGACCGTAGATTTCAAGATTTTGGGGTCGGTCGCAAATGGCAATACAACATCAATTTTTTTTTTAGGCCCAGCTAAAAACTATATTCTTTGACAACATTTTCAAACTTTTCCACAGCAAAAAATTGCTACACTTAAACCTCATGTATGAGTCTAGTCGACGTGTACGTGTCACATGATTGATTCTACACGTTTGTCGTGTCACCACGTTAAGACAGTACAATACTGCACGACTGACTGATCAAATGTTGACAATTTTGTAGCACAACTAAAAAAAAAAAAAAAAATAAGAAGCAATTTCTACAGGAAGAAAAGAAATCCTATTATTGTGAGCTTTTTTAGGATACCGTAATTGAAAGCGGATTTTCGGTATCGCAGCTCAGCATGCATGTTGCGCGGTTTGGAGTTCATTTCTGCTCGCAAGATTGCTAAAATAGAGGTCTACTATCAAGATTTATGTAGAATTATGGTGTAATTTGGTGAATATATTTAATTTATTATTTATCAGATTATATGTTTAGCATTCTCCTGAAGTAAGCCATTTTTTGTACGTAGTGGTTGACATAGGCCTGCCCTTGTGCCATCCAGTGCAGTGGAGAAAAATCATCTGATCATGGCAAAATGCTGTGTACTTTACATTGCATTGGCATTGTCATTGGTCATGTTGGTTGATGGTGGTCATGGTGGCACTGTCTGTAGAGTTTACAGCTGATAACCGTAAATAATCCCTATGATTACGTTATTATAATTTTTTTGAAATGCCACTCCTAATCAGTAATCTGTCACAGATCACATGTTGACTCGATCTCGAGTAAAGATTTAGGAGTGAATACTGAATGTAGACCTAGTCTAATCAATGTTGAGGCAATGTAGACTAGGGTCTACCTGTAACTTACTAGACTAGTAGGCCTAGTAGACCTACTACTAGTAGGTCTACTAGTAGTACTAGTAGATCTAGGTCTACTTAGACTGCTCTTAGGCTTAGCATAGTTTTGACTTTTGAATTTCAAAAGTCAAAACTATCTGCCTGCTGAGTTCAGCAGGCAGCATTTTCAGTCTAATAATAATATCAAACCAATATTCTTCATTATTTGAACCGTCCTTAGTTGAAGAAAGATATATTATAGGCCTAGATATAGCTTAGTACCTGGCCTGCGCCTGTATTATTAGAAGTCGTCCCTCCATGACTCTGCTCTGACCTTGGCATTGTTGAGACAGTGGTAGGAAGAAATGCCCTAACCCTTGTGTCGTATATGAACTTCATGATCGAAAGATTTCTTAAAATTCATTCATTTATTCAATTGTTCATTTTTAAACAGGGATTGAAGAATACCAGCATCATAGCCAAAGTTGATGAGGCCTTGAGGTCACAATAGGTCAAGATGACTTCTATCATCAAGCTAACCCCATTCT